ATTTCTTGCTCCAGAGTCACAATGACTGCTTTAATTGTTGGCATTTCCTTTGCCTGCAGTTCCATGGCTTTCACTCCCTCAGCCATAGGCCCTGTTGGAATTGAAAGCCCTGGCTTTTTGTTGTTCTGAGAAAGAAGCAAGTAAATTCCACTATATAGAACCTGGGCAAAACTATCAGAGCCTTCTGGGCTGGTTTGTGCCCTCGCTGTTCTGGTTGTAATGCTCTTTCTCTGATGGGACACCATACTGAGTAGCTCCCTCAGTGCCCAGTGCTGTCGGGGCAAAAGAAATCTAAGCAGGTGCATGAGATGGAAAAGCTTGAAGGTACACAGGGGAAAACCTTCACTGTCCATCCAGAATAGATCTTCTAATAGGCTGGTACTTCTATTAGAGGAAGTGTTGAGCGGCACCCACAACGCTGCTGATTACAACACAACAGATTTTCCCTAATGAAGTTCTCAATTGCTCGTGACTTTTCACTCAGTTGGACTATTTCTGAGCTCATCCATCTGCATTAGGTGCTTTTCCAGTTTCCATAGCGACGGGGCAATTCATCATCTTTAACATATCTAGCCTTACAGTATCTTACAGAGGGAACCACTGTGTCCATTTTATAAATGTGCAGCCAGAGGTGTGGGGAGCCAAGTGATTTGCCCAGGGTTACAGAGTTCACCTGCAGCTGAACAGGGTAAGAACACTGCTTCCCTGGGTTCCAAGAAAATGCTGTGACTGCCAGGCTGTCCTTTCCCAGGGAGGTGTTTGCTGTATCAGATCAGCACCAGCTGAAGGTTGTTTCCCAAGTGTTCTTTTTCTCAGACTCAGAAAAAGAGACTTTCAGAGATGAAGAGGTTGGAGTTTGAGTGGTACTGAGCAGGGTGAGTAATGAAACAAGAAATCAAAACTTGCAAGTAATTTATTCAGCAGAAATGCCAGCCACATTCTTTGGATAAATAACTCGCAATGAATAATTCAACCGGTGTCATCACTACAGGGCATAGGAACAGGAATGTTTTTGAATCATTTGGCCTTTTTCTTCATGTAAATCCAAGCCAAACGTCCAGATTCAGACCCTGGCGTGTTCCAACTCTGGATCTGGACTTTGCTTGTGGTTTGGCCAGGGTCAGGGTCAGACCTGGGCCTGTGCTGAGCACCCTCTCTTCTCTCTGAAATCTGAAGAAACCCCAGGAATTTGGTACCCTACAGGATAAAATTCAAATCTGCCCTTCAAAAAAATGCATCTGTAGCCTCCAAACCTTGTGAAAATAGCAAAACATTGAAAGCCATTGAGGAGTCTGGATTAACACAGCACACAGAGCAGGGAAAAGGCTGGTGGCCTTTGGAACAACTTCTCACATTAATTTTCTTCCAATGCTGACAGCTCTGATTTATTGCCTTTAGGCTGGTTAGAAAACACCCAGACATGAGAGAAGCCAAGAGTTATGGAAAGCAAAGAAAATATGGTAAATGTGGTGATGAATAGCACTGGTAGATAGACAAACACTGCGCTCCTACTGCCCCCGAGCACTGTCTTAGGGTGAAGATGGGAACAGGGGTTTTGCTTGCACTTTCTCTAGTTCTGCCTTCTCTTCTAATATGTTGAATATTCTGCTAGAAAGCCCATGGGATCCATAGTTGTATTGCTTTTTATATCAGCTGGATGCCAGCTGGAGCACCAGCCAAGGGACGACTTGGAAAATGAAAGAAAGAAATGCGCAGCGGTTGGGAAAGTTCTTTAGATCATTTTGTTGTGAGACCCCAGGGCAGTGATTCCTTGCCTCTCCTCTGGCACTCAGCCTTGGCCACAGGGGCTCTGTGTCTGGAGCAGATACCACGGTCCTGCCCTGCAGCTCCTCCAGCCCCATCTTCTGCAGCTCACAGCTGCTCCTTCTGCCGTTTGAGGTGCTGAGGACACAAGGACACAACTGGTGGCAGCACGTCAATCCAGGTCAATGATCCAAGCACGGGGAGTACCAGACTGCCAAATATGAGACACGAGAACGTTGTGCTGGTGCACGGCCAGCATTGCTTGCAAGGGTTTCTTCCTTAGAAATCACATCAATGCGTTACTTTCCACAGAATTTGGGAAGGTCAGTTGGATTCCTGTAGATTACTGAAACTGTTTGCTAAGAAAGCCTGGCTGCTCGGTGCTCCCTTTGGCTGTATCAGGTTCATGTTTACAGAAGAACCACACCAAAACGGACCAAATAACTGAGGAACAAAACACGGTGAGAGTTGTCTTTAATTTCATCAATGGTTTTAAATATTTAGAAAGCAGAGTGTAAACATCTGAAGAGAAATCTGTGTGCTTGCTCTCCGTGTTCGGAGCTGCAGGGATTTACAGGCGCAGAGCTGATGTTTCAGACTTTCCACCAGTTATATATGCTCGTGTCATTACAGCTCTTCCCTCAGCCCAAATTGCTGGCACAGCGTCCTGAAATGTTTCTCATTAGTAAACTTTTCATAACCTCCAAAACTGCAACAACTGTAGAATGAAGCATACCGGGATGCCAGCTGGAGCTGGCACTTGGCGCAGGGCTCTGCGCGCTGTTTGCTTAGCTGGATGTGAAGGATGTTCCGGACCAGCTAGCAGGACATGTGACTGAGTTTTGACCTAAACCACTGGCTCAATTCCAGAGATCTTGCATATTTCATGGGAATGCTTTCCACTTGTTGCTTTCATACCTCAGATGCAGCTTTTAATGATTTGAGCATAAACCCAAGCCCAGCAGCCATCGGAGCACAGTTAGAAGTAATGGCACTTGGCTATAGAAAGTAACAGCGAGGTTCCAGAGCGGCTCAGGGTGCATTTAGTGCTGAGTTAACAGTGTTCCAAGGGTAGAGCTGTGCTTTCCCTTTCTTCCTGTCTCAAAATCCCAGCATCACTGCTGTCTTTTGCAAAGGCTCTGGTATGGGCAGACCTGGAGCACCACCCTTGATCTGGCATGGGGGACTTTGATGGAATCATAGGATGGCTCAGGTTGGAAAAGACCTTAAAGATCGTCAACCACAGGCCATCAAGTCCAACCGCAGTTCCCTTCCTCCTGTAATTCTTCATGGGCAGCCTGTAGGAGCAGGAGCTCTCTGTGGCCTCAGCTTTGCCATTTCCCCAGGAAAGGTTCATTTGTGGCTGAGTGATTGGAGCTCAGCTTGGTGAAATTGTGTTACCTGATTCCTGGACTTTTCATTTTCAAATAGCCAAGACTATTTATTTTAAACGTATTAATTTTCAACCCAAAGTCTTTTATGCATGCATAATTTATATCATTCCTTGCTATAGCTCTTACATTTTTTTTTCCCAACGTGGAAAATAGCGTAAGTCTGAGTAGTCCTCAGATGCTGAATTCCAAATTGTCTGAATTAACTTTGAATCCCAGTGGGTTCCACACCTTCCCAGTTGTTCATCACTTGCAGGGTTTATGGCATTTTAGATGTTACTATTAAATCCAGGCACCCCTAGAGATACCAGCAAGACTTTGTGAGTCTAAAGAGTAGAGGAGCATGACTGAGTCCTCAGAGCTGTTCCAATTTAGCAGTGTAGTAATTTAAGTCTCCTTTAAACAGGCAACGAGTTGTAATTTTTTATACATTTTATAATTTGTTTACAATTTCACTTCCCTCCCTTGAATACCTTTTAGGAATTAGAAAATGAATGAGTTTTCCCTCTGTTTAGATTCCTTTTTTCTATTTAGTGAACATTGATTTTACTCCCCCGGTGCTTTTGTTCACTGCCAAAATTAACACCTCTGTTCAGCATTGCTTTCCAGAGGGCCTGGAAATGTTCTGGGGCCATTAATGGGGTCGGGCTGCACTCTCTCCTTCCTGATGTCAGCCAGCACAGCCGAGGTGCCCTCATGGGATGGATGAAAGGAAGGAAGATCTGACCAAACCCTTTTGGATGAGCAGTTATGTGCTCCTCCAAAACCTTCCCTGCCTGCAGACTCCAACACAGAGCTCAGAGGGCAGCTCTGGGCCAAGCTGCTGGGATGAGAGGGAATGGCCTTAAGTTGTGCTGGGGGTGGATTAGGTTGGGTAGTAGGAAACATTTCTTCTCCAAAGGAGTAGTGAGGCAGAGGCACAGCCACGTGGGGAGTCCCCATCCCTGGAGGTGGAGATGAGGGACGTGGGCAGTGGCACGCTGGGTTGCTTTTGGACTGGATCGTCCTGGAAGCCTTTTCCAACCTTAATGATCCCGTGGTTCTGTGATCAGGCCTGAGCTGCATGTGCAGGGTTAAGTGCTGGGAAAGCCATGCTGCACATCAAGGATCTGCAGGGAGGACTGAAGAGGAGGGCTTGGGCCATATGGTGCCCATAAAAATGGATGCAAAACGTTTCTGAAGTATATGAAATCTGCAGATAGTTGTTCTGTGTTTCAAAAGTGTTGAATATATATGTATATATATAGATTGAAAAAAAGCTCAACAGGAGTTTAAATAAACACAGGCAAGTGAGTCAGCAAGAAGATATAAAATCATCAGGAAAGGCTGAGTTTGTTTTAATATGGGGATTACTGTAAACACCAGGAGTGCATGGTAACAATTTGTAGGCCATATGTTTTGAAATATCATAACTGGTGTCAATAAACACATTAAAATTCAACTTCAAAGAGCATTGTGGATATTTGGAGTGTCACGAAGACCTTGCGAAACAGGGATTTTGGGTGGAAACAAGTATGGGAGCAATCAAACACAGCTCCTATGTGAAGAAAGGGGTCTTGTTGAGTTGTTAGAGCTAAGCATCTGTGATGGTGATTACTGCTTCTTGCTGGCTGGGAGCTCATTCTGCCCCTGATTCCTTTCACTCTCTCCCTGGCCTTCCACCCCTGTGTGCACTGAGCCACCAATTGAGGGTTTTAGGGCATGGAGAAGGGTGGACACTTTCCCTTGTGTCCCCCATATGTGATGGTATTCTAAACATAAGGTTTGTGTTGCTTCTTGAATCCTTCCTCAAGCTTGTAGGTAATTAAGAAAGAAAAAGTGGGGAAGATCCCAAAATAAGCTGGCATGGCAAAGCAGGGAGAGGAACATCTCTCAGCCAGTGCCTGGTCATGCTTGTGTCTCTTTTCTGCTGGTGATCCTGTCTAGGTTTTTACTCCTTCCACTATAGATGCTACATGTGTGGGGTTTGTGTTGGCACAGGCTGAGTGAGCTGATCCTTCTCCCATTGGTTTTACCACAGGGAAATGAAGACCTTCCAGAGTGCATCACAGCCTGGATCACACAGAAGACACCTGTGGAGGAGGATGGAGCCCAGCAGCGACTCGATGCAGCCGAGCACAAGAACATGCTCGAGCCAGTAAGTGCAAATACGTGCTCAGCACTGATATATAAAGCGAGCAAGAATGGCCCAAGCCATAGCATGTTTTGCTATCTCTGGGTTTTACAACCCAGTGTCTCTTCTGTAAAGGCAGCTCACAGTGCTTCTGCTGAGCACAGGCAGCAATATCACTCTATTATAAACCCTGTAGCAACACAGTCAATCCCACATACCCTTTTTAAGGCGATTTATGACAGAAGCAATATGAAGGAACAGATGAGCATTCCCGCACCTAGGTCCAACAGCCATTTAATGATCACAGTCAATATTCCCCCGTTTTAATACCAAACACCATGTTCCAAACGGAGTGCTTCCCTGCAAGCTGCAGGCAGGCCATGGAGGACTAAATGGGGCTTCCAGTGTGATGAATATAGCAGCGTCTTAAGTGATTAGGACACCTGTTGACATTAATATAGAAGCATGCATGAAAACAAGTGTGCCACGCTGAAATATATGTACACAAATATTAAGAGGATTAGAGAAATTGCTAAAATGGATAGTGTGGCGTTTAACGCCAACAGGTCTGGAATTCAGGCAGGATGGAAATAACACACACTGAGCTGCCCCCTTGTTTTCCTCTTTAGTGGCTCATCTGGGGTGTAAACGCCTTACAAGGGGATCATTTGCTTGCATTTAACATTTCTGTTTAAAGTATGTCTTTGTTTGGAATCTGCCTCCGATTCATAGCCACCTTCCTTTCGTAGCTGGCACCTCTGCCATGCAAGCTGCAAGAAAAAGTAATTAAATTTAATAGAAGCCACCCTGGCTTTGAAGCTGCCCTGGATTAAGAGCCACAAGGAGAAGCAATTAAGCTGCAGTAGCCAAGGGTTCGATCTGAAGTTATATAGTGACTTTTTTTCTTTAGAGGAAATTTTCTCTGTAAGTGGATTTGGATTGTCAAACCCAATTGGATTCAAAAGCACAGAAACTTCCTTCTGTGGGAAATTTTGTCCTGAAGCAAAAGGAAAAAATAATGAGAGGCGAAATGGGGATCGGTTGTGAGGATCCAGGACATTTGTAACCCTCTTTCAAAACGTTCCATTGAAGAGTTCAGCAGAGTGCTGAAGGGGAAGGGAGGCGTGCAAGGAGGACAGCTGTGTGCCTGTTTGCAGGCAGGTCGGCTTAGCAGCAGCCTAGCACAGAGATTCATTAGGGGAAGGGATTCCTTCCCACCAAACGGTGCTGCTTAAAGCTGATGGGAATTCTTAACCCAGCGAGAGGCAGAGATTATTTTTCACCTTTGTGTTTTTACCAAAAAATAGTCTTTAAATTGAGCATTGGGATAGAAAAAAAGACTCCAGAATGCCACAGGCAGTGTCCAACGTAGTTCTACCTATTTAAAAGTATTTTTCAGAAGTTTCCTATAAAAGCATTCGTTGCAAAATACCTTCTTCCAGCGCAGATGCTCTGCACAAAAGCAAACCAGCAATGCAGTTAGCACCTGTAGGCAGCCAAAACTATCCTAATCTTCACCAGCTCTTAGAATTACGTGTAAGTAGCTAAGCCATGGTACATGTGAAGCCTTTTATTATTGCCATAAAAGTATTTTGCAGTACCTGCCCTTCTGAGAAACAGATGCTGTGAGGCTCAGTATGGGGATACCTCTGATGGTCTGTGGCCTATGGATGGACTTGGTGAACAGGCGTTCCCCTGGCTGGAGTCGTGGCAAAGCTGCCTTAGCCATTTCCAGGGAAGTGTTTGGAATGCTGTATCTTGCAGGGAAATATATTATTCTATCACTGGCCTTTATGAGGTAGCTGGGGGCAGACATGCCCACCCCCAGGCTGCACACCCCCAAGGAGGCTGCCCTGGCAACGGTGACCAACCTTTAAAACTCAGTGAAAACACTGAAAAAACACAAAAACGCTGCCAGTGAGCTGCTGTGGGGAGCTGTCAGCTCTGTGAGGAATGTTTGACCCCAGCGTTTTAGACGTCCCAGCAGTAATCTTTGACAACGGGTCTGGATTGTGCAAGGCGGGGATCGCAGGTGACGGTGGCCCAAGGTCAGTTATCACATCCATCGTTGGTCGCTCAAGAGTCAAATCTGCAATGCTGGGAGCTGGGATGAAAGAATACTACGTGGGAGAAGAAGCTCAGTCCAAAAGAGGGATCCTGACTTTGAATTATCCCATTGACCATGGCATCGTTACATCCTGGGATGACATGGAAAGGATCTGGAGGCACGTCTACGACTACGAGCTGAGAGTGAAAGCCAGCGAAAGACCCGTGCTGCTGACAGAACCCCCCCTCAATCCTCTGCAGAACCGGGAAAGAATGACAGAGATCATGTTTGAGGGCTTCATGGTGCCCGCCATGTACATCGCAGTCCAGGCTGCGTTGGCCCTCTACGCGTCAGCCCGCACCACAGGCATAGTTCTGGACAGCGGGGATGGCGTCACCCACACCGTCCCCATTTACGAGGGGTACTGCCTGCCCCATGCTGTCTCCAGGCTGGATGTCGCTGGCCGGGACATCACGGAGTATTTTATGAGGCTCCTTTTGGAGAGCGGATACTCTTTTGTTAGCACCGCTGAAAGGGAAATCGTGAAAGATATCAAAGAGAAGCTGTGCTATGTGGCTTTGGACCCCGCTCTGGAAATGAAAGCAAGTCCAGAAGAGATCATGAAAGAATACAGATTACCTGACAGCAACATCATCCAGATAGGCAGCCAGCTCTTTCGTGCACCAGAGACCCTTTTTGTACCTGGAAACATTGGCATTGAGGCACCCGGGGTGCACAAAATGCTCTTCAACAGCGTCACAAAGTGCGACATCGATGTGCGCAGGGATCTGTATGGCAACGTGCTGCTCTCGGGAGGATCCACGCTCTTCCCTGGCCTGGAGGAGCGCATCCTGAAGGAGTTGCACCTGCAAGTGCCTGTGGGCATGCTCGTGAAGATCATTGCACCCCCCGAGAGAAAGTACAGCGTGTGGGTCGGGGCCTCCATCCTCTCCTGCCTGACCTCTTTCAAATCAATGTGGATCACTGTGAGGGACTACAGGGATTTTGGGGCAGCTGTCATCCACAGGAAATGTTAAGGAGAACGTCAGACCAAGTGGATGTCTTCATAGCAAAGCGTGAACAGCGAGCCCTGATGAGGGCTGACTGAGCAGAAGGGGGATGAAACTGCTGCGCATTTCCCGGCTGACAAATCCTTTGTGGAAATAAAACATGAAATCATTGCTAACCGGGGCTTTGACTCCTCTTACTGCTTATCTTCTCCTAGGGGAGCACTGCTTATACACCTCACCATTTCTTCCTTCCTTTCCTCACAGTCACAGGGATGCAGTGGTTCCCAGCTGTCACACAGCCTCTCTAGGAGTCACTCAGGGAGCAGCACACCTCCTCTGCTGGAGGTTCTTCCCTCTGAGCTCTTTGCAATATCTGGGTTTTTCTATTCTAAAGCCAAATCGCATGTTATTTCTAACCTCATTAAAAATGTTTCCTTTCAAAGCCCAGCAAACTCCCAAACAGAATCCAAATATAAATCAATGCAAATGCAATTACTGTAGCCGACCCTCCTCTGTGCCTGAGGGCCTGAAAAAATTCATTGATTCTCTGCCTCAATTTATCAGGGAAGTGTGAACACCCAGCTTCCCTCCCAAGCACCCATGGCAGATGCCACTGTGGGCTTTGTGAGCTCGGTGGGGCTGTGCCCTCTTGTGATGCAGGGACAGAATGCTCGGGTGCTTCTGGTGCTGCAGTGCTGCCCATCCTGTGTGCAATGTCAAGTATAGCGGCAGCTGGGACCCCAGTGGTAGTTTTTGACAATGGCTCTGGGCAGTGCAAGGCCGGGCTGTCAGGGGAGCAGGCACCCCGTTCAGTTATTCCTACCATTGTGGGGTACCCCAAATTCACGTTTGTCATGATTGGGATGGAGCACAGGGACTGGTATGTTGGGGAGGAGGCTCAGTCCAAAAGAGGCATTTTGTCTTTAACTTACCCAATGGAAAACGGAATGGTGACATCTTGGGACAACATGGAGAAGATCTGGAGATACCTGTACGAACACGAGCTCAGAGTGAAACCCAGCGAGGGGCCGCTGCTGCTGACCGAGACCCCCCTCAACCCCCCGTCCCACCGAGAGAAGATGGCTGAGCTCATGTTTGAGAGCTTCCAGGTGCCTGCGCTCTACGTGGCCCTGCAGGGGCTGGCAGCCCTCCATGCCTGCGCCCGAACCACCGGCATGGTGCTGGACAGTGGAGACGGCGTCACCGTCACCGTCCCCATCCATGGAGGCAGCTGCCTGCTGCAGGGTGTTACCAGGCTGGATTTTGCAGGCAGAGGGGTCACCAAGTACCTGGCCAGGCTCCTCCTGGAGACGGGGCACTCCTTTGTGAGCCCAACAGAGAAGGAGATAGTCAGGGATATGAAGGAGAAGCTGTGCTACGTCGCTTTAGATCCTATTAAAAAAATGCAGCAAAAGCCTGAAAATCTGATGTGCGAGTACATGCTGCCTGATGGAAGGACTGTCAAGGCAGGAGATCAGCTGTTCCGAGCTCCTGAGGCGCTTTTTGCACCTGCAGAGGTGCAAATCCAAGGAGCAGGGGTGGTGGGGATGATCCTGCAGAGCGCTGCCAGGTGCTGCGCTCACATCCAGACGGACGTGCTGAGGAACGTGGTGCTCGTGGGCGGCTCCACTCTTTTCCGAGGTTTCAAGGAGAGGCTCCTGAAGGAGCTCCAGGCAAAGGTCCCCAGCACAACCCGCATCAAGATCATCTCGCCAAAAAATCGGGTGCACTCCGTGTGGGTCGGCGCCTCGTTGCTCGCCAACTTAACATCGCTTCGCAACATGTGGGTGAGCAGGGAAGACTACAGCGAAGTCGGACCAACGGTACTCCAGAGAAGATTCTATTGAGAGTTATGACCGTCCAGGAATTGTCTTAAGTGCCAATCTGAACAGCTGGAGAGCAGTTAATAAATCAGAACAAAAAATAATTGATTTGTAGTAAGTGATTTTATAGCTTAGTAAAGAAAGATCCCTTGTGCATTGGGCTGAAGAAAGAGTCCTTGTTCAGAGCATTTTTGCTCTCCAAGATGTTGGTTTTAATTCTAGGAGCGTGTTGATCCCTGCTAGAACTGCAAACAGTTTGTCAGACTTTTAAACACTTGAGAACGAGGCACCTCCAGCTCATGCCTGGGGGGCTGGCTCCCTGCCACGCACCGTAAACCTCCAAAGAGTGGAAGGAGACCTGTGATGGAGAAATAGAGGGCCCATGGGGCTTGCTGACCCTTCACCATCGCTTCTAGCTGTTCTGGAGAAGCTCAGAGAGGACTGAGCCTCTACATTTGGTCTTGCCCACAGAATGGAAACAAGTGGGTCTGGCTGCCTAAGACCTAGAGCACCTCTGCGCCATCTGTGGCCTCACCACGTGATTTGCTGTGTCACATCATGCAAAACATTGCCCACCTGTGGGATTTAGCTAATATTCTAGCATAAGGAAATGGTGTATTTTCAGAGATCGTCTTTATCTACATCTGCAAATACATGCACTACATTGAATCAGGCAGTAGAAATCTTCTCATCATTTGTGAAACTAATTAGTGCTATGATTTATGTGTTGTTCAAAAATTGTTTCCGAAGCCCCCAGGATATATCTGAGAACTTGTTGGGTTCACTCAAGACCAACAAGTGCAAGTAGGAAAAGAGAAGAAATCTGCCTTATGAATTATTCAGCCCCGTGTCTGCTTTCATTCAGCGCTGGAGGTGAATCTTCAAACTCATTGATGCCCTCTGCTGCCCTGGGACTGATCAGCCATCCCTCTGCTCCTCCCTGTGCTTTGAAGAATCCCGGTGCTGTTTTCCTGTTCTACAAGACATAACAAGTGCTGTGAATGGGGCCACATCTAACCCATTCTCAGCTGCTCCCAGCCCCATGCTTCCCCAGCAGGGTGAGCAGAAGAGGATGGGGAGATAGAAGAGCAGAGAACATGGGCAAGGATGGGAGAGTGAGCTGTGGGTGACTCGGGAGCACAAAGCAATGGGCCTGGGGTGAAACACATCTCTTTGCTGCTCCACTTTGGCCCTGCAGCTTCAGAAGTGGAGCTGAACATTGCTGCATCAAGTTAATGCAAGTATGCAGAGCACTTTCAGAACTGTTATGAAATCTGAATCAGCGATGTTGGATCTTTCTTCTATTACAGTATGTTACCTTTTAGCAGCCCACTGGATATGTGTAAACAAACGAGGTACGACTGTAGACAGTTTAAATATTTTACAGCTCACTGAACTTCCATATGAGGAGGGATTTGCAGTAACTTAAGTGTTTAGACTCCTGCTCCAATAATCTAATGCAAATACGAATGCAAACAGCAGAGTGCTGGAGAGCAGAGGGAACCCCAGAGAGCGTGCAAGTCAAGGTGGTTGTCAGGAAGGAGGGAAGCGAAGCAGCACAGGCGATAACTGCACAACTGATGCAGACATGAAACGTGTTTGGAGAGTGACACCTAGCAGAGCTGTGCGTGCCTGTAGCAGAGTCACCTTGCAGAGCACAGTGCTGCCCAGTGTCATCCGGAATGGATTCACTGACACCAAAATGGTTCGACGCCGAGGGAGCTGGCTCAGCTCCTGGCAGCCAAAAATCATTCAACAAACCGTTATTACGGCTACGTAGCACCCACAGCATTGGCTTGGCCTGGCTGCTTCCATTTACCACAGAGACATGACTTTGCTCAAGGGCACGCAGTGAGATAGCAGACATTGGCATGTGTTCCAGGAGACTTTATCAGCCCCTGCACTCCTTGGTCACCTTGTGCTTCCATCACCGCGCAGGGCACTGGGAATTCATTACTCCAGTTAGACTGCGTTTTCACATTGAAGATGTGTCAGTGACTGGGGACCGCATTCCCTTCGTCCTCATGGCACAGAACGCGATCCCTCCGATCTGTCCCCACCCGTCCTCTGGGCACATGGTACAAGTGAGTGCCTGGGGTCTGCCTGGCCTCGGAAAGTAGCTGCAGTCTGCTGAAGATCAGACACACAAAATCATTGGGCAAGTTTGCACTAAGCTCACGTAAGCATCTTAACCTGCTCCCAGTAATTTTGCCCTCCCTCCCTCCCTCCCCAAGTCTCATTTAAGTTTCAGTTCAGCGACAGCCCTTTATTTTCTTTTAAATGTCAAACAATTCATCATTTTGCACTTTCCCTATTCCCTGTGAATCTAAAGGTTTTATTGGTATGCAGCAGTGTCAGCCTGGGACAATGCGTGCTGATTACCCAAAACAATGCAGTTCTTGTCACCCTGCCCATGAGCTCTTGAGAAATGCACAAGAGCTCTTGCTTTCCCCCTCTCCTCCCTGTTGTCATCTGCACAATAATAAGGCCGGATTCAAATACCCACTAGACAAATAGTTATTATCTGTATTATTCAATCTCCCAAACCCTGCCCTGGTCCTTGCTGGGCTGTGTTTGCACAGCACAAGGATGGCGATGGATGGACAGGGGAGCACAGCACCAGCAGAGCCATGCAGGAGCCTCGTTGTGTCCCCATGGTGATGCTCAGCTCTGCAGGCATTGCACACACACGTGCACCCACATGTGCACACATGCACACGCCGATTTTATTAAGCCATTCTTTGCAACTATTTTATATGTGGCCCTTTTTTTTTTTTAATTTGGAATACTTCAGAGCACTTTTTTTCACAGACAGTAAAGTGAGCGTTGCTGAGATTCATTAGTCCCCTTTCCCCTGTGTGTAAATGGATCTCTCTCAGTTATGCAATGCAAGGGTACACAACCATGAAAAGTGCAGAGGCAGCCAAAAAAAGCATTGTTCTGAACTTGGACGTGTAAAATATTCATATTCAATAATAAAAAAATAAAAAAAAAACCCAGCTCTTAATAAAAAATTCAAGGGGTAAAGTATGCATTGTCGCTCCATCCCCAGGAGCAGCTTCCAGACCAACGTGTTCTGTGGGTTTTCACTGCCTTGTTTTACTCAATTAATTCAAAACCAATTCACTCTCAGGCATCCCAGCATTAGGTGCCTAAATTGACTCTGATTTCTCTGAGGGCTGTGTCTCTATGACTACAGGAGCAGCCGGTAGGAGCTGTGGCTGCTCAGGGCACCCAGCATGCAGCCGCGTGGTGGAGGTCGCTGTGCACCAGCAGACAGTCCCAAATGGTGTTAGAAGCAGAAGGATGGGGCAGGGGAGGCCCTCCGCTGAGCTTCAGATTGGATTGCAGGAGCAATTCCTTCTCAGAAGGATCAGTGATGCTTTGGCACAGCTGCCCATGGGGCGGTGGAGTCCTCCTGGAAGGTGTTCAGGAACAGTGGAGGTGTGGCACTGAGGGATGTGGTCAGCGGGCACGGTGGGGTTGGTTGGGGTTGGACTTGGAGATCTCAGAGGTCTTTTCCCTCCTTAACGGTTCTGGGATCCATGATAAGATGGACAAAAGCATCTGTCACATCTGGTCAGGACTGGGTCTGTTCAAATGCACCTCCAGCCAGGGGAAGCTGCCACTCCATGCTCTGCTTTCTGCATTGTCCCATGTCCTCACTTAGTGGCAAAGTGGAACCAGGGCTGCAGTGGTGCCAGCAGCACGGAAAGCATCACAGTGCTGGAGAAAAGGGAGTGCAGGAACAAGAGGAGAGGCTCTGAACTTAGAATACTGTGTCTGGCGCTGAGATTTTATGAAGATATATGAGAGAAAAGAGAAACTCCAAAACAACCAATGCTTCAGATGTTTCTTTTATCTAAAGTAGAGCGAGCTAAATGCTTTACACAGAACGAGTCCCAAGGAGCATAAATCAGAGGATGTGAGCTATGTTTCATAAAGACCTTAAAACGCAACTTCTTTACCTCCCACGTTCTCAGGCCAAGTATTTTAACTGGAAAAGCATGTGGGACAGTCAGTGTGCGTGTTGCCCGGGTCTGTAATGGTCGTTCCCACCGAGGTGATGGGTTCTGTGTCTGCAGTTTGATGCTCACATAGGACAACGTGGGAGAGCAGTGAGGGCATGCAGCCCCAGGCAGGCAATGCTCTCAGGGTTTGTGGTGCTGCTGTCCACCCCACTCCTGTGTCTGAGAAGGGAGGATCTTCCAAGAGCCTGCACACAGCCGGCCACACGGAACCACATCCTCGCTATCCCAAAGTTCAGAGCATCTGTCTTAATCAGCCTGCTTGCAGCCCGGCAGGATTTACTGCTTGTTTTTGCAGTGAATCTCTCCCCCCAGGGAGCAGGGAGGGGAACTTGGTGGCGTTAACAACCACCGCTCACCATCACGGCTCTCAGGACATCTCGGATCGACGGCCCTGCTGGCGTCACGGCCTCAGCCAAGCCAAGGAGCTGCTGCTGAGCCACTCAGCCCCGTAATGCAGATGAGCTGAGGAGATTTGGAAACGCTCCACTCCTCAGATCCTTCGCTACCCCGACAAATCCGAAGGGAAACACGCGCGCTGCCAAAGTTGTTTCTATGGGTCATTCCCGAATTCCTACACAAAACAGTAATTCTCAGAACAACACAGCAGAACTATTAAAGCGGTGCTGGTGGTCTGATGGCTTTCTCTGAAGTACTGTCTTTCAGCCAAAGTAATATAGGTTTCCTAGAAGCACGTGCCCCCAGAGGGAGGAGTCGGGGGCTCTCAAGGTGCCCCAGACAATAGGCCAGATGCTGATTCCAGCTGTGCTGTTTTAAACCCACTGTATTCCGTAGATTTACGTCAGAGCTGATTTTTCTTACAGCCGTGAGATCATTGTTCCTTTTTGAGGGGAAGGAAGGCTCCCAGCCTGCCACAGGAACCAGCTCAGCTCCAGCTGCCGCACAGAGGCTGTGTTTCGGAGCTGCTCTGTCTTTCCTAGGGCAAATCACCAAGATTCTGGGTTCATCCCATTCAGTAACTTTAAACACAGGTTA